CTCTGTATCGATAATAATGTCTATTTCAATAAGATTTTCCAAAAAGTATTTAATGTACAGATTTGACTCAGAATTTTATTATATGTATAGATTTGTGTTCTCCTCTGTCGCATGCAACAAATTTTTTAAATATTTAGTTATTAGCCAAAAGTAGGCTCCGGAGTCGACCCTAATTTAGATTTTCGGCTCCACGCGTTTTACCACAAAATTAAATTTGGTTTTCATGCAAATACTTCAGGTTTGTTAAAACATAGCACAAAAATGTTACATGTTACGGAACCATTGGTGTACGAATCAGACTCGCACTTATTTAGAATTTTTGATCATTGTATCGAAAGTTGATTATTTTTCAAAAGTTCCTATTTTGCAATTTTAAATTCCAACGTCATACAAAGCTGACCACGTGTAGAAATTAGATTATACCCAACTGTTTTAACAAAGCAAACCGAAAAAATACTTTTTAATATTTTTAACGCATAGAAATATCTCTGAGAAATCTATACTAAATGGTAAAACGTAAGTAACGACGAACCCGAGCGGAGCAAGAATGAGTCGCTAGTTAATGAATATTATCGTATGAGCGTGTCACACTCGCTCCTAAAGATGAGATATTTTCCCGCAGTAAAAAGTATCCTATGTAGACCCGGATAACCAGCTATCATCTTACCAAATTTTATCAAAATCCCTCTGGTATTTCCGTGATGCGGTCACAGACAGACAGACAAAAATTTTAAAAACTATAGATTCGGTCTCTGTACCGATAATACTGACTATTTCAATAAGATTTTCCAAAAAATATTTAATGTACAGATTCAACTCAGATTTATATGTATGTATAGATATTCTGCCTTTAGGTAATGTTGACGTTTTGACCACCGGAAACGGAAAAAAATCTGCAGGACTTTATGGTGTAGGATTCTTGATTAAAAAGAAATGGGTAGAAATGATAGAGGAAGTCAAAGGCATTTCAGAAAGAATTGCTATTCTGAACATTAAACTCCCCATACACAAAAAAAAAGAGGAAATGTGGTCTATAATTCAAGCCTACTCGCCAACCGAATCTGACAAAAAAGAAGATATTAAAAAAATCGAGACGTTTTATGAGGAACTACAAGAGTGCATACAAAGTTCACATAAAAATATTATTGTGATGGGTGACTTTAATGGACAAATCGGAGCTTGTGCACCAGGAGAAGAATATGCGATAGGAAAATATGGCTACGGAAAAAGAAGTAAGAATGGTGTAAGACTAATTACATTTGCTCTACAAAATAAGTTAAGTATAATGAACAGCTTTTTCAAGAAGAAGGAATCAAAGAAATGGACATGGATTTCTCCAAATAAATTACACAAAAATGAAATAGACTATATCATGACGAACAAACCAAAAATATTTAAGAACGTATCTATAATAAATAATCTAAATTTTGACTCTGATCACAGAATGATTCGAGCGACAATATCAGGACAGAATGTAAAGAAAAAGAGAAGTTTTATGTATCAAAACAACGCCCTAACATGTACAGGAGATAGCTTATCACTCGTAAATAACCTAAAATCAATAATGAACACAAACACATCTGAAAAGACTACAGTACAAGAAAGATATAATACCATAATAAAATGTCTAAAAACGGAAACAAAGCGAATAAATAACAACAGTAAAAACTTTATTTCTACTAGAACCCGAGAACTTCTGAATGAAAGGAAAGAATTATTGCAAACAAATAAAACAAAAACCGATCGCGTCAAGATAGCAGAAATAAGCAAAAGAATCAACGAAAATATTAGAAAAGATAGGAAAATACATAGACAAAGAACAATCAAAACGTTTATAGAAAAGTCTGGGGGACTAAAGAAAGCTTTGAAAGAGTTAAACACAAAGAAATCTTGGATGTTAAATATGTCCAACAAAAACGGAAACGCAACAACTAAAAGACCAGAAATTCTAAAAATTGCCACAGATTATTACCGTGACCTCTATCGAAAACAAAAACCACAAACCAGTATGCTAAATATAATAACTGATTCAGCAGAAACAATACCATTAATATTAAGTGAAGAAACCTAAAAAGCAATTAAAACACAGAAACTTGACAAAGCACCAGGATCAGACCAAATAACTAACGAACTGCTGAAAACTACATCGTCAGCGATTGCTCCTGTTCTAACTAAGATATTCAACGAAATCATTCAAACAGAACAAATACCTACGGATTGGACCAAATCAACAATAATACTATTACATAAAAAAGGAGATAAAGGTGACATTAAGAACTACAGACCCATAAGCCTGATGTCAAACATCTACAAAATATTTTCAAAAATTATACTTTTTAGAATAACTAATTGTCTTGACGAAAACCAACCTAAAGAGCAAGCAGGATTCCGCAGCAATTTTTCGACAATAGACCACATCCATGTTCTAAGACAAGTTCTTCAAAAATATAAGGAATATAATAAAACGTATTATTTAGCGTTTGTCGACTATAATAAGGCTTTCGACTCACTAGAGCACGATTATATTTGGAAGGCATTAGAACTACAGGGAATACAATCTAAATATATAAGCATACTAAAAAATATTTATTTGAAAAGTACTGCTCAAGTAAAACTAGAAACAGTAGGAGAAGAGTTTCCCATACAACGAGGTGTGCGTCAAGGAGACCCTATATCGCCAAAAATATCTCGGCTGTTTTAGAAACGATATTTAGAAATCTAGACTGGGAAACACAAGGCATTAATGTAAATGGAGAACACTTAAGCCACCTTCGTTTCGCGGATGATCTCATCCTCTTTTCTGATAGTCACTTAAAACTAGAGAAAATGTTACAAGAACTAGCCAAAGAGAGTATTAAAGCCGGTTTAACAATGAACTTATCAAAAACCAAACTCGTAACAAACTCTAAGCATAAAAATACCATAAAAGTAAGCAATGAGAACATAGAATACGTAGATGAATACATCTATTTAGGCCAACTAATATCTCCGAAAAACACCATGGACAAAGAAATTGATCGAAGGATTAGTAACACCTGGAGGAGATTCTGGTCACTCAGCGAAGTGATGAAGAGCAGAGATATGCCTTTAAAAGAAAAAAGAAAAGTTTTCAACATATGTGTATTGCCATGTTTAACGTACGGATGTCAAACCTGGGCACTGACAGAAAAAATGGCAAGCAAACTTAGGGTCTGCCAAAACTCTATAGAAAGGAGCGTTATGGGTTTCAGAAGAAAAGACAAAGTCCGCCTAAAAGACATTAAAAGTGTTACCAAGTTCAAAAATGTACAAACTGTTCATAGAACTCTAAAATGGAAATGGACAGGACATATTCTAAGAGAAACAAAAGAAAAATGGACAAAATTAATTACAGAATGGTACCCACGAGATGGAAAAAGGAAAAAAGGACGACAAATAAAAAGATGGGAAGACGACCTAAAAGATGTGGCTGGGCCTACATGGATGCGAACAGCAAAAAACAGAGAAAAGTGGAAATCTTTAGAGGAGGCCTTTGTCGAAAGACAAGCTGTTACAACAGATTAACCATTTGCCGATAGTTATTAAATTGAAATTTAAAATTAGTAGTAACCTTAGAATTATTTTTTTAAGATCTTTGCTTAAGGCGACTTAATTAATAAGTATATATATTAATGTTAAAAACGAACAGCAAATAAAGGCTTATTTTATTTTATTTTATTTTATTTTATTTTATAGATATTCTGCATGTTTGAATATATGAGCATTAGAATAAAAAAATGATTTTATTTTAATGATCTTATATTCTCTTTGATTTTATAGAACCAGTTTTAAAAAGACGTGTTAAGTTCACCAACCGGCATGGGTCCAGCATGGTAGACTATCCTATAGCATTGTATGGATACCCGTGCCCAGCTGTAAGCCACAGCTGGGAAAATAGCTAAATTACTTAATTATTCAGTATTATTTATTAGCATCTCTTTGGATTTCATGGGCTTAAAAGAGTCCGGTCCACAGGAAGTCTTGCATGAGAACGCAGTTCCAACACATAGATTACGACTTTAAGTTTGTCTTAATTTGACGCATCCGTGACGATTTATTAACGCAATACGCGTGCCTTAATTATGGCATACAAATTTACTTTTACTTTCTTTCTAGACTCTCGATGAACAAATACCATTGACATATACATCTGAACGCCACTTAAAATTAATTTCTACCTATATTTTTTTACATATTTTTTATGCAGAGGTATACCTAAATATATAGGCACAGGTAAGTATATGTATTAAAAACCGTCCACTGCTGGACATAGGCCTCCCCCAAAGATTTCCACGACTGATTAAAAAAATAGCTAAGTCTAATCTTCAAGGGTCGCAACGGATCTCCTGATTTCGTGCTCCTTGGTTGTTGAAGTAGGTAGTGTTTTGTGTTTGCGGTCTAATAGGCATGATGATGTTCTCCTGACCGATTCCAGCCACGGCGGCCAATCTCATTGAGACTAGCTGCGCAGGAGATATTATAGTGCACACGTGTACGCGCAGACAAGTGCACTCTCTATTCCTGTCACTTTCATACTCGGCACGGGGGTGAAACACTGCCAACTTCCCAATTCCGGGTTGTTACTGAGGCTTAATATACAGAAAGACTCAATAACTAAACTTGGCCCAACCCGGGACTCGAACCCAGGACCTCCGGGTGTGCAGCCGTATATATGCAAGCCACTACACCACCGAGGCTAATAGGCATACAATGCGTATATCACACACGCCAGCGGGACTATGGCCGGCATATGGACCGTACATAATTTTGTATATCGAATTTGATTTAACCTTTTTTGAATTTTAAATTATGTTATTTGACATTCGGATTGTCTATAGATGAAAATTTTTTTTTATTAAATAAGTCGATTAGAAAGAGTTTTTATTTTATTTAAATATTCTTTATATACTATGGTTTTTTTTCTGTATAATTGTATTATAATAAATATTTATTTTCAAATAATTTAAAAAAAATAGACTCACCGTTCCATACAACATTTCGTCGCATACAGCTTGCGCGAGATCTTTTATCTGGTTGTCAGATACAGGAAGTTCTTTTACGAAAAAAATTTCAGCAAGTGTTGAGCTTATACTAAGCACGTTCAATAGAAACGATATTACTGTTACTACAAACATTTTGAGGATAAAATTCAATGTTCTTGCTTAAACATACTGTTTTTCTTTAATACGTATGTCAAAGGGATGATAAACTCTACTTTTTAATAATTTTATGAGGGATTCAAATATTTATAATCAAGACATTAAAAATGGGGATTTAAATAAAAATAATTTCAGCGTTTGAGAAACGTATGACTATTTACAATGCACGTGATTACAAATCGCGCACTCTGATTGCCCCCACGGTCTGAACTGGGCGCCGCGAGCCGGGTAGCGCCGCCGAACTTACGGGCGGGCGCCTTCCACCACTTAAACTTTTAAAATACAATCGCCAAAACTCATTCAGAACCAATCATTTGATTCTGTCATGCATATTTACGATTACTCAATATTACATTATCAATTTGTATTACGTTCAATTCATTCTTTAAAATAATAATAGCCTTATTTACTCATAAACAGATTACGATCAGCATTATCGTGCGTTTTATACGACTTTGTGACCCGTAAAGTGCAAATGTAGAAATGTCGCATAAATTGCTATTTAGATTGTATAATCAAAGGACATATCGCTTAATATCGTCAAAAAAAACATATGACGTGCGCTTGCAAACTTTGGCAAAATAATAATAAAATAATCTTTATAGATTTATTAATTTCTTCTATTCAAAAATATAATAACATTAAGTATATTAGATTATAAAAACAATGCTATTACTTTAATAGTAATGTGATAATTCTGAAAGGTTTAGCTATAAACGTACATAATTCAATATGTTATCTTTTACATATGTTTCAGAATCCATCCATACTAATCCTAGTCTAATCTTTATATATATAATTCTTCTGTGAGTGTGTATGTCACTGAACTTCTCTCAAACGACTGGACCGATTTTGATGAATTTTTTTGTGTGTGTTCAAGGGGATCTGGGAATGGTTTAGATTCACAATTTGAATAATAATTTTCATCAAAAAAATTATAAAAAAAAAGTTTGAAATTTTCAAATTAAAGACGTGTAGACAGGACAACGTCTGTCGGGTGCGCTAGTATTATATAAAATTTCCATGTCACAATGTTTGTTACCGTACTCCTCCGAAACGGATTTACCGATTTTTACCAAATTTTATATGCGTATTCAGTAGGTCTGGGAATCGGCTACTATCTATTTTTCATACCCCTAAGTGATAAGGGTGGTCCTCCCAGACCCCACCCCAGGGACGAACCCGAGCGGAGCGAGGGTGAGTCGCTAGTAATATTATAAATGTGAAAGTTTGTGAGGACGGATGGACGTTTGTTACTCTTTCACACCAGAACACCTGAACGGATATGGATGAAATAAGGTACACAGATAGATTATCGTCGGTAATATCACAAAATAGAGACAAATCCAAGCGAAGCGAGGGTGAGTCGCTAGTTTTTTATAATTTTCAAATGTCTGGTTGTTTAAATAATAAATTAACATTTTTTTATTTCATAGATAAAAATAATAATTTGAATAAAAAAGCCACCACCCGAGCAGAGCCGCAAGGAGAAAATAAGTTTAAAAATATATTTTGTAAATTTAAATTGGTCTTACAAAGAAAACTTGCAGATATTACTTATTAAGCTTACAGGTTTTAGGAATGGCAGGGAAAACTCTCAATGATTGTTGTTGATTTAATATTATATTTAGGTTAAGGGTAATTTTTATCCCTAGGATACTTTTTATTCCAAGAGAAGTGATTCCGTGGATTAGATCTGGTAGTTTTATGAACACTTTATATTTATGTAAATTAATATAATTATTACTTAATATCATTATGTATGTCAATGATATTTTAAAATAACGCGCATGGTAATGGAAGATAGCGCTTATAGTATTACACAAAGGATTTCTCCAATAAAACCTACGCTATCCCTAAGTAATATATTGGTAAGTTATTTGTCATTTACGAACCAAGCAAGATAGCATCCGGAAATTAGTACTATAATATTTTGTGTAGGTATGAGTTTTTGATAAATAGAGAGATGATCTAGGATACGCGATACCCTTATTTGGATACCTATGGATATGTACCCACTTAAGTATAATTGACATGAGTAAATTGATGCCAAAAGCTTTTAATTACTTATCATAATGACTCTTTGACTGTAAACGTTGTGTTATAGTTTATTTTAATATTATAATACGGTAAATGATCACAATACTTTCAATATAAATTGAATATCATAACGGTCGGCCTGCTTATTGAAAATATATAGAAATACTGTTTTGTATTTTATCAACCGACTTCAAAAGGAGGAGGTTCTCAATTCGACTGTATTTTTTTTTATGTTTGTTACCTCAGAACTCCGTCATTTATTAACCGATTTGGACAATTTTTGTGTTGTTTGAAAGTGTATATTTCCAGATTGATCCCATTTAAATTTCAAAAAGAAAATACCACCCCTAAGGGTGGAAAAATAGCTAATGATGAATTTAACCTACTTCTTATTGTCATATTGACTTGAAACTTTGCAAGTGTTTCTATTTCCGTTGATAGTACAGTCGTTCAGTATTGTTGACCTGATCTGATGGTAAGGCCAGAAGGTGGATAGGTGGAACTCTTCAACGGCTAATAGTAGATACTTTGAGTTTGGGCTTGTTTTGTTTGATTTGACAAGCCTAACACGTTAGAATTCTTACTTTGCTACTACTGTCTACACTAAAAAGGGAAAAAAAAGTTTTTTTTTAACAGAAAAAAATTGTAACTTTTTCGGATTTCTTAACCAAGTCGTTATGTTTAAAAATAAATAGGTACAAAGTATTTATATTTACTACTACATATACTTACTAATATTACAAATGTGAAATTGTGTATGTTTGTTTGTGTGTTTGTTTGTCGTTCTTTCACGTTGAAACGGAGTGACGGATTGGCGTGTTTTTTTTGTGTGGAGATAGGTAGTTAGAAGGCTGGAGAGTGGCAGGCTACGCCTACATTTTACCGACTATCTAATTCCCACGGGAAAACACGTTATAATACAATCCAAAAAATATTTAACATCATAATTACTTGAAACTTGGTATTAATGCTCTTCAATAAAATTAAACAAACACGCATTTTAGCATTTTTTGAAATTCATCCTATAAGAGGGTAAAATAGGGGATGAAAGTTTGTATGAAACTACCTTTGTAGATATTTTTTTGTAGTTTTAGCGCGAGCGAAGCCGCGGATTCTGCTAGTAATATATTTTTATTCTATTTTATATAAGTATCTGTCAACTCCGCACGGATGAGTATAACTTTAGCATTATATAATTTGTTACTCTATGTTAGCATTACTTACGCTGATTTTAGAAAACTTTTAAAAAGGTGGCCAATTATTTAAATAATAGAAACTATTATTTGAGAAAAATGTTAAGCTCTGAAAGTGATGATTACTATATCGAATATCTACCTACTATCCGTTGATAAATAATGTATGTAATAATGTATTTTCCACAGACCAGACGGGGCCAACAGAATTCATAAAACAACTTTAAATTTATAATAGCGGATCAACATGGACAAGCTATCAAATATTCTACTTCGATAAAATATTTAAAATATAGACTTTAAAAAAATAGATATGAAAATTATTATTTAACATGCCCTATATTAAAAAAAATATCTTAATAGAAATTAACATAATAACACTTACAGGATGTAAGAAGTAGAATCTAGTTGACTTGACACGTGACAGATACTCTATCCCAATTTCAAGCTCAGTTTAGCCGAAAAATCTGAAGAAAGCGCGTTAAAACTGTGCAAAAAGAACTTTTTGCACAGTTCAATTGTTTGCAATAGATGTACTTTCTAACGAAGAGCATTTCATTTACTTCTTACTTTGTAAATCAATGACAAAAATAGATATATTTTATAAATTGTATTGAAGATCGAACATTCAAGTCCTTGCGTTAGTTAAAAATATAATTTTAAATATACTTGTTAAAATATAAATTATTTGTAGTAACGATACGAAGCCGCCAAGGCAGGAGACACGGTTATACAACACATTAGATATGCTCGATTCATTTCCCAGTCAAAATCGGTTCAACATGAATTATTAATCAAAATTGTGAATAAGGCACTGAAACATTTATTCGACCGCCAGAATAAATGCTGTAAAAAATAACACTTCTTGGCCTTTAAAGTCCTACGTTGCACCTGCAAAATGCGCACACGTTGTACAACTTTAAAAAGTTTCGAATAATCATGCTGAGAAAAAATTACTTACAGGTTTAGGTATATATACTTACTTAAAGGTTTATGTATACTTAGTAGACTATAAAATGTTAGAATTAGAATATTTTATGTAATAATATTAACTGAGTAGAATAATTAAAATGAGTTTAATACACAGATTATGGAAATCTATATTTATACGTCACACGACTTGCGTAAAAAACTACATTCTTAGTTTTTATGTTCGTAGTAGTACATATTTTAAATACCAGAGTTAGTCATAACGTAATAATTTGTGTTTTAATTCTGCATTTGGCGTACATAGTATATACCTATCATATTTCTAGATAGGCAAATAATAAAGTTTCGATCTTGAAAAGCGTTAAGCCGCGTTATTCGAAACGTGGGTAGTTGACAATACCTACCTCAGTTAACCAGACACCTATCGCATGCCTCTCTACAATCTCTTTCATAATTCAACTTTTTATCCAATATAATTATTTTTACTATTTTATTGCTTATGAGATGAAATCTCAATTCCACGGTTTATTCGGCGAATAGCTTGAACTTAAAGATAGGTACTACGGGATCTTTGTCCTCTCATAAAAAAGGACTTTAGCTTTTAAATAATTAATCAGTCTAAATTCATGAGAAGGTCGAAAACCTTTGAATAGTTTCCGTATAATATACATTCACATTAGATTTTTTTATTTATTTTTTTATGCCAGAGGGCACCGATCGATTTCGTCAGCTACCTGGGTATGATTTGGTATAACCTTCACTCGTATTTCATCAGTAAAGGCCGGTCATTAACCTATGAACACTAAATTCTTT